AAAGATGATTTAAGGTGATACTGTCCAACAATACCCCACTTTGCCTAGTGTTTTCCAAACTTCTGAAGGGAACTAAATCTAGTTGATATTTAGGCCTATTGACTGCATCACAGCTGTCTGAGGGGCATTTCCCACTGTACTGCCATTATTATGAAGGGTACAGCTGTACCAGAGTACAGTTGTAAAACTGTGCATATTTATCATGCAAGCTCAAACTGTCATCATCCATGTACACATTTACATCAGCCTTCTTTCTCTACGCTAAAAATCTGATGTAAAATCTGATCTAGAAAATCTTTTGCTAGAGATGTTTATTCTGGTCAATTTTTCTGCAGTAAAAGGTAAAAGAAAACTGTAGGCCTACTCATTCTACACTAATAATAAAGAAGATCTACAATGATAATTAAAAGATATTTTGATGCATTTACTCCAAAAACTATGATTTAAGGTGATACTGTCCAACAATACCCCACTTTGCCTAGTGTTTTCCAAACTTCTGAAGGGAACTGAATCTAGTTGATATTTAGGCCTATTGACTGTATTTTGCTGTTTTACACGGTAAAGAAAATACTTCAATTACAGCACCACTGTGGCTAAAAGTCAGCATAAATCTGGCATGTTTCCAAATACAAGAGATATTTTATATATACATGTTTTATTGTGAATGATTCCTCTGTAACAAGTGTGTGTGTGTGTGTGTGTGCACACAGAGGAATCATCCACAATAAGACATGTAATATGCAATAAGAACCTTTTCATGGGAATGCCAGAACTATTCCTCCTTTGTAATGATTGTATGTTTAAATTGGTTTCAACAACTGACCCACAAGCTGACTGGCCCACTGAGAATAGTCCCGGTGTTTCCTAAGGCCAGACCACTAGGTGCAGATACGTAATGGGTTTATTCTGGCCCAGACACCCACTCTCATTTTGGGGTGACAAAAAGGCACAGCATGGCCACACTATTCTCCATTCACTGTTGCTTGTGCATTCAATTCTTTAAAAGGAATTTGAGTCATGCTGACTATGTCAGTTTCAGCTATTTTTCACTATTGATGTATAATAACAACACTTTCAAAATACTGTAAATTAAAGCTTTTATATTTCTTCTGGTAACACTGATGTGACCATGTTTCATATGAATGACATATTAATGTGGGTCACACAGGGATTTTACATCGTCAGCGTTCTACAGCACCAAAGCACTGAACGGTAATTTTGAAAGAGAGAGAGAAAGAGCAAATGAAGGAAAAAATGTGCGAATATTTAAAAGAGGTTGTGTACGGAAGACAAAAAGTTCTTTCACACCTAACCACCCCCTCCACCACATGTTTTATTCTATAAATACTCTTTAGATTTCTTTGATTTAGTAAACAACATAATAGATAGTGATATATATGTGTCATTTTGGTCTAGTTAAAATGAGACCAAACTACTTTGGCCAAAATGTATTGGCATTTTCACAGGGCATTTTGTCAAGTTCTATTTCTGCAGTGTCACACTTGGTAGCCCCATTTACTGTGAAATCTTATTGGTCCAAAATCCCACTAATAACTAAACATCAAATATGTTCCCACCCATTGGCTGTTATTACTGGTGTGTTCAAGTTGTCAGGAAGATTGTATTTTACGAGATAAACACACACGAACGCCACCACAAAGTGTGCAATATTCTTTTGGGTTCAGTGTGGACTGACAAAATACTTATAAAGACATGGAAGAAAGATTTAACTAAGTATAAAGCCAAAGAAGCCACATGCCCACTTCATACAGTTTAATAATGCTACACTAAATTAATGATTTAGTCTGTGTCGTGTCCAATAACATGGGCCTGTTGCCCAATTATTCTCTCTGATGAAGGTGAAATGATGTCCATGTAAGTGGCTTCTCACAACAGGGTGCAAGAGTTAGGCTACTCAAATCACCTCCAGCATCTGTGACAATCCATTTCTTGTTTTAACACTGATTAAAATGAGACCATAGGAGGTCCAGAGCATTTTTCCTCAGTGGTTTTGTGGGTGAGAGAGAGCAAGAGTACGAGTAGAGAAAGAGAAAACTTATTTCTTTTCCCAAGCCTGTAATTGTTCCTGAGTGTTTTGTGTACACAAGAGAGGAATCGTTCTCACCCTCCCTGGTGTGTTTAGGGGAACAGGAAACCTTCCTTATCTACTACTTGGGGTTCTGAAAGTGAAAGAAAAAGGGAGAGGCAGCTGGAGAAAGTCGAAGCATACAGTGGAGAGGAGAGTGAGAAAGAGAGGGAGTGTGTGTCTGGATTGGAGACATATACAGCTCAGTCAGAGCGAAGAGAATCTCCTCAGTCCCATCTGCTCTCTACACAGCTCTCATTACACTCACAGGCCCATCCATCAGCCCGCAGCCACACAACTCTGCCACAGCCCACATTAATGGAAAGAGGAAAGAGAAAGAGATGTGGGGAAAGTGAAAAGGAGAGAGACAGGAAACAACTGAGAGAGAGAGAGAGAGAGAATGATAGAACGTGGGGGAGAGAAAGAGAAAATAAAACAATTTCACATGCATTTACAGGCTAAATTAGCCTGTGAAGAGGACAGAGCGATAAACTCTCCGATGATAAAAACGCAAAACTATCCTACAGTAATTGATCTCGAAACAAACAGATGAAACAAGGCCAAACATCAAACCTGTCAATAGAGGTGTCCGTATGCCAGTCATATAATGTTCTGCTCAATCTTTGATCAATGTTTTGTGTTCAAACCCTTGACCTTTCAGTCATGTGGTGCATTCCATTAGAACAAATCACCTAGCTGTGGATAAATGCCACTGTCACAAAACCACTGGGGCAGAGTAACAGTTAGATTTATGAGACAAATCACTTCAAGAACAGCAGCAATGATGTGGAATCTCACTTGCAGTATCCAGACACAGTTGGATAACAAAATATCAAGTGTAATGGGAAGAAATCCATTCAAAAGCTACCTTGACTTTTCATTTTTCCCATTACTTTTGCAAACTGCACTTTTGGTGATTATGAAATCAGATTGTTATTTATGATGTCAAATCTGACCTTTTTTCTTCTGTGGGAAAAAATGAATATATTTTTTGAAAATGTGAGTGCTTTTTTATTTATTCAATGAAAGTCAATGGGGTCCAATGTTTTGACTTTTTTTCATTGGACAAAAATAGTTAGTTGAAATATAGGTCATACAATACAGATTTGGAACATCATGAGCTTTAGAACAGTATGAGAAAATAAATATGGAATAATTGCTTTTGGGTGAACTAGCCTACCCCTTTAACTATGAACATTTTCAACTATAGTGTCCACTAAGAAAGTATCCAAATGCATTTGCATTAGTTTTGAACAGTATTATCTATTTCTCTTATGAGATACTGTGCTTTAAAATGTGCTTGTGCTATCTTTTTGCAAAATAAATGCCACTGATTTAATATTACATTATGTAATCTAGTCACATTTATAATTTTTTTTTTGTGTGTGACAAGTGTTTCTTTGTCTTCGTTTTGGACAGTATATATTTTATAGTGATATGTTACTTGAAAAGAGTGTGCTTTCTGTATGATGTCAAATCTGACCTTTTTTCTTCTGTGGGAAAAAATGAATATATTTTTTGAAAATGTGAGTGCTTTTTTATTTATTCAATGAAAGTCAATGGGGTCCAATGTTTTGACTTTTTTTCATTGGACAAAAATAGTTAGTTGAAATATAGGTCATACAATACAGATTTGGAACATCATGAGCTTTAGAACAGTATGAGAAAATAAATATGGAATAATTGCTTTTGGGTGAACTAGCCTACCCCTTTAACTATGAACATTTTCAACTATAGTGTCCACTAAGAAAGTATCCAAATGCATTTGCATTAGTTTTGAACAGTATTATCTATTTCTCTTATGAGATACTGTGCTTTAAAATGTGCTTGTGCTATCTTTTTGCAAAATAAATGCCACTGATTTAATATTACATTATGTAATCTAGTCACATTTATAATTTTTTTTTGTGTGTGACAAGTGTTTCTTTGTCTTCGTTTTGGACAGTATATATTTTATAGTGATATGTTACTTGAAAAGAGTGTGCTTTCTGTTTTTAAAATAAATGTCACTTTGCTTTCATTCATTTTTAATTCTGACTTAAGTAATACTTTAAGTAATTTTGAATATCAACTGATTTTTTTTGTGTGCGAAGTGCACTTCTTTATTTGAGTAAATGGCTCTTGTTTTGACATTTCATCACGCAATGCAATGCCACACATACATTTTAGCTTAAGTGTCCAAATACTTTTTGAGTCCACTGTATGTATATGCAGAGACATTCACGCAGTGCAATTGTCTGTGAAAATGTTCTATTATAACAAAATCTTTGTTTCCATCCTTTTCATTTGACACAATAATTGCTGACAGAGTTTCAGCTCGATTTTCTTCATCCGTAATTACATTTTTAAGTGGTCTTAAGCGTGCAATGAACTTATCACTGCAGGGTGTCACTTTGGCACCACCAGAACCTAGACGTTTTAATTACAGCAGGTGGAATTGTCAAAGTGTACTATACTGTATGAGCCGAAGTGCACTTCTTTATTTGAGTAAATGGCTCTTGTTTTGACATTTCATCACGCAATGCAATGCCACACATACATTTTAGCTTAAGTGTCCAAATACTTTTTGAGTCCACTGTATGTATATGCAGAGACATTCACGCAGTGCAATTGTCTGTGAAAATGTTCTATTATAACAAAATCTTTGTTTCCATCCTTTTCATTTGACACAATAATTGCTGACAGAGTTTCAGCTCGATTTTCTTCATCCGTAATTACATTTTTAAGTGGTCTTAAGCGTGCAATGAACTTATCACTGCAGGGTGTCACTTTGGCACCACCAGAACCTAGACGTTTTAATTACAGCAGGTGGAATTGTCAAAGTGTAGTATACTGTATGAAAAAAATAGGTGCAATAAACAATCCCCATACATTGAGCACGCACAAAAAGTGTAGCTGCATGTGGACTCCTTACCTGCTCTGGCCCCTGAAAACAGATCCGACACAAAGGAGTCCTGACTCCGCTGTCCGTGCAGCTGTTCAGAGATAACCTCTCGTCCAGCTTCTCCTTAGAGCAATCCTCGGATGAGCTGCAGCAGTCCAGCGTCCTCGGCGAATCCACCCCGCTATGACTCCAGTCTTCGCTCCCTCGTGTGTCCACAGCCTCACCTGCTACCGGCTGGTAATGTCCGTTGGCTAAAGAGTTCCTCTCCGTGGCGCTGCTCGTCGCATTGCCCTCCGCGTTTATTTCGTTCATGGGTGTGAAGGCAGGTGGCGATGCCGACGGTGCCGGTGGCCTGAGTAGGAAAACCTTCAGGTCACTGAACAAGACGCAACAGCGGCCTTTCTGCTTGTCCTGGCGGCGCAGCATCGGTCTGCGACTCAACAATCCCCAACACCATACAATGACACCGATAGCCAACAACATGTGCCCGTCTTATGAATAATGGAAAGGCGGTCTATGCTTTTAAACGGCCTATAATTCTAAGGCTATCTGTTACTGGACTCTAGCAGGTCACATAACAGAACTTACTGTTTGGTTTCCAACGAGGAAAGACACTTGTGCAGCCGGTTCAGTCTCGTGAGCAACACCGCTTTCAGCTCACCTCACTCTAACTGACCGTTTGGACATGGAGAAGGTGTTTATTTTCAACAGTTATTATTCTAATAAGAGCTACATCATCGCGCTAGTGTTTCCATTGAGAAGCTGACGATTGTACGCACATGTAATAGTAGCTGTCAAAAGCGGTAACCCTTTAGTAACCCTGTTCGTAACCCAATGTTGATTCCGTCATCTTGAGTAGCCTACCTCAAGAAAACCAGTTCATTCAGATGTTACCACGTGAAGCACATTTATGGTTACCTGACAAAACATTATCTACTGAGGGCGTTCACATCAACTGGCCTTATACTTACAAATACTCAAATCGAACATTTGCGGACAAATAACCCGATTTGAATGAAAAATATCGGGGATTCCCGCGAACCGCTTCTGACAAAGGAGCTCCTACCCTGAGGTACTCTTGCCTGTGGCATCTATTCATCAAAAGCAGGACAACAGAAATGCAGGCTATTCGTCAGCAGAGCCAAACAATGCAGCCTGGGTTTGTCTAATAATTAAACAATTTGAAGTCTACGATATACACACACACACACACACAGTAGGATACACAATTTCTGTTCTCCAGTTCACACCGTCCTCGCTTATTAGCCATCATCCAAAAGCGACTGCCGTGTAATGGTGTTAATGTGAACACAAAGTGTGTTGCGTGAAATCAAACCCAGCCACAACCATGCCAATTATCCAGCAATTGTCCTTGGCGTTCATCTCATGTTTCAGGTTCGACCGCTTACAAATGCATCCCGCACAAGTCCCCTTCTGAAAGATATAAGGTGCCAACGTCTTGTTAGTGCAGGCAGCCTATCTTCTTAAACACCCAGCCCTTGTTGCAGAAATCCCAAGGCAGTTTAGCTCATTGTCCCGTGTAATGTCAGACATGTCTTTCGAAAATCAGTCCAGAGAAGAAACAGATTCGCTTTCGACGATGAGGAAATATTTTTGCCATCCACAGTCCGTCGTTTTGTCACATCCAGCGCCTTTCCTTTGAATCAAATTGCTGGGAAGATACTGAAGTGGCTCCTGCGTGGTAATCCAAAGCGTTGCGGTTCATGCGACGATAGGCGTTGTGCAGATCTGTCTAACACGAGTTGTTATGATGATGATCATCAGTAAAGCCGGAGGATGCTGCTCTCGCTGCGGCTTCAGCACCATGTTGCCTGGGACAGCTCCCAGGCGCGGGCTCGTCTCCCTCCGAGAGTGTGATGCAAGCAAATCACGTCCTTACAATTTACTCTACGTAATAAATAAAGTGCTCAGTTTCATCCGCCCGGGAATCCAGTGGGATTCAAATCCAGCTTTTGAAACGTGAAGTTTTCTAATTCGAACCTGAGGAGATCGTTCTTGTAGTGTGCATTTCTCATGCATCCGAGCCACAAGCGGATTTGGTTTCAGCTCTCAACATGTGAGACCTGCTCACAAGCATGTGTTTCTAGGTCAGCGTTACCAGCGTTCTTCTCGTCGCCCCCTCTGAGACGATAGACCCGATCAACTCCACCGCAGAAGATATCAAGTAAACGTTGGACAGACATGAACTTTAAGTTCACAGCTGCAATTGCTGCATGACATTTTCCAGCATAAATTTCCGCTGTAGCCTGTAGGAATCAGTCTTTGGAATGATTGAGTCTGATTGCAGCTCTGAGTTTTCACTGGGAAAAATACATTGTTAAACTTAAAGTGAAAAAAGTGGTGACCTTCAATTGTTATCTTATAGAGCTGAGTTAACCCATAAAATGTGACCCTGGACCACACAACCAGTCATAAGGGTCAATTATTTTTAAATTTGATATTTATACATCACATGAAAGCTAAATAAGCTTGCCATTGATGTATGATTTGTTAGGATAGGACAGTATTTGGCCGAAATACAGCTATCTGAAAATCTAAATATTGAGAAAATCGCCCTTTAAGGTTTTCTAAATGAAGTCAATGCATATTACTAATAAAAAAATAAACTCTCTTATAAAAAATATCGTCATGGAACGTGATCTTTACTTAACATCCTAATGATTTTTTGCATAAAAGAAAAATCTATAATTTTGACCCATACAATGTATTGTTGGCTATTGCTACAAACATATCTGTGCTACTTATGACTGGTTTTGTCGTCTAGGGTCACAAATGTACTTTTGTTGGCATAAGTTAACACATATAGACTGGTTCTGTCAGGTTAAATTATATTTTTAACTTCAATAAAACCAGTCAGACTTGAATAAAACATTTAAATCATGAGACCATTTTTAGGTTACCATTTTTTTTTTCAAATTATATAATACTGGTTTACCAACCTATGAGCTATTAAATTCTGTTTGTTACTGAAAAATGCACGGATAATGATGCAGGTGGTGTAACAGATGGCCACATGATGACTTAAAAAATCAAAATGAGTCTTTCCAGTAACTGTGATAATAACATAAAGACAGAACACAGTGTTGCCCACACACCCAGAAACAAACACCATCAGGATTTACAATGAGATGTCCTAATTAAAAAAATATACACATGCATACAGTAAAACAATATTTAATGTAAAAGTAGACCTATACGTAAATACGTTTCTTTGTAATTAGAATGTATTTGATATCTTTCGAAAATACAGAAAAGGAGCAAATTCACTGTCAAAGATAAGGAGATGTTTTTGCCATCCACAATATGCCATTTTGTCACATTTAGTGTATTTGCTTTTATTCAAATTGCTGCCAAAATACTGAAGAAAGCTGAATTTTATACTTTAGCCCTCTGGTGTTGTTCGGTCATTTTAGACTGGGAATTTTTAAAAAAAGGGGTAAACAATATTTTACATTAAAATTGAATTTACTGCCTTTTAAAGAACAATATAATTTTTACCATAAGGTAACTTACAGTCAAACAATACTTGTCCCATTAAAATGACTAACTATTCTACAGTGCACTGAAAGTTTTGCCAGATATGTCATTCATCAGGCAATATCCAGTTTTATTCAGGTCAATAATATGATTTTATATCATTGAAACAACCTGAAAGTTACACCAACAAAGGTAATTTTAAGGGTTAAATCATGTAGTTCCTTAAGGTAACAGCTGCCTATTTTTTTTTTATCTTGACAGAAAATCTGTTATAAATATTATACTGACCAAATGATAAAATAAACACTCTCGGTCAAGGAAATTCTACTTATCAAGAAAAGAAGAGTATAGATTTTTCCTGTAGGGCAAAGTATAAATTCCTCAACAAGTTGAGACAAATGAGGGAAATACACAGAATAGGTAGAGACATTTGTTTTGCAGAAACACTAAACGTCCCTGGCAGACTGGCCTGTATCTTTCACTGGCTGTGAGCCATTTCACCCGTGATGTGAAGGAGAAATTCAACTCGGAAATCTCAGCATTTCTGCTGCACGTGCCAAGAAGTTCCCTTTTCTCTATGTGCTCAAAAAGAAAAAAGAAAAATTTGTTATTTAAACATTTTTTGAGAAGTGTCCCTTGGGTTTCAGGAATTTCATTGGTTATTTATCTTAACAAAAGGCAGAGGCATTTTAAATAAATTCATAGATTTAAATATCCCATGAGATTCCTGAGCTAACTGGCTTCGGGATACTACTGGCATTCATTAACACAACATTGAAAAAATGCTTTGAACAGCATTCACCAAAGTAGCTCAAATATGAACGTATCATATTTACAGTATCTAGTATCATTTTGTTGAGACAATATTGTTTCACAGTTAATTTGGTTTTGTTTTATTAACTAGTTTAATAGTTTAAATTGAAAATTGACCAAAAATCTACTCACTCTCAGGTCATCCAAGATTTAGATGAGTTTGTTTCTTCATGGGAACAAATTTGGAGATATTTAGAAAGTGAATTTTTTATAGTTTTTTTATCACTTGCTAACCAATGGATTCTCTAGAGTGAATGGGTGCCTTCAATGAGGGTCCAAACAGCTCACAGCATTCCATAATCAATTACTGTGACTTCTACTGTGACTTCTGAAGTAAAAAAAGAGAAAAACTTGTGAAGTGAAAAGCTGCATGTTTATCATTGTTGTCATTTGTCATTGAACTGTCATTGTTGTTGTGTCTGACCAAAGTCCTGGAGTCATGCAGATTATATGTTGATTATTGTGATGTTTTTATGCACTATTTGGACTCTCATTCTGACGGCACCCATTCACTGCAGAGGATCCACTGGTGAGTAAGTGATGAATCAAGTTTCCCATGAAGAAACAAATTCATCTACATCTTGGGTGACCTAAGGGTGAGTAAATGTTCAGCAAATTCTGTCATTAATCGTGAAAACAGAAACTGTCCAAGATTTTAAAATATGGTCAAAAATCCTCACAACATCCAATTAATGTGTCTCACTGTCTCTAGGTCACACTCACATGCACATACATAGGAACTACATCTAGAGCTCTAGCAGATTTCACTGGAATGATGGGTAAAGCCATCGTAACGAATGGCTTCGTGCATGTCCTATAGGAGGAGCTGCAGTGGCTCACAGCCTCTTCCACACTCCTGTGAAGATAAGCCATGGAGAAAGAAGAAGGTAAACCAGGGATAAAGAGCCACGCAAAGCCCAAACCAAGGCTAAGAGAGCTAGTCATGTGTGAACCGATGGCTCAGTTTGACTGGCTCTTGTTAGCAGAGTGAGAACTTCACAGATGATTGACCTTAGTGAGAGCAATTATCTGACTGAATGGAGAAGAGTATGATAAACACAATGATAATTTTTGAATGCAAGCAGTCATTTAGCAGATATATGCATCTTCTCTTGGAAGATCTGTGTACACAGATCTTTGTTCAGTACACCACCTTTCACATGAAAAATCTA